TATGCTAATATTCTCTCAACTGCAAGAAGATGAGTAGTTCTAGGGGAATGCATGTACTGGCTGACAACATTGACTGCATAACTGATGTCTGGCCGTGTGAGACAGAGATATAGGAGCTTTCCAACCAACCGTTGGAACATAGCTTTGTCTTCAAGAGGCTCTCCACCCTCTGCACTGATCTTGTGTTCTGTTCAATGGGTGTATCTGCAGGCTTGACACCTAACTTTCCAGTTTCCGCCAACAGATCTAGAATATACTTCCTTTGAGAAATAAAGATTCCCTATTTAGATCTAGCAACCTCAATACCCAAAAAATATCGCAGTACACCAAGATCTTTCACCTCAAACTCTTGATGAAGGAGCTGTTTGAGGGACTCAATCTCACTATTATTATTCCCTGCCACTACAATATCATCCACATGTACAGCAAGCAAGGTCAAGGAAGAGTTCACTCTTTTAACGAACAATGTATGATCTGACTGGGCCTGTACATAGCCGAATTTTCCAAGGGCTAGTCTGAATCTATCAAACCAAGCTCTAGGGGACTGCTTTAGTCCATACAATGCATTCAGTCGGCAAACCTTCTTACCTGTCTCTGCATCATAAAATCCAGGGGGCAACTGCATGTAGACTTCTTCCTGTAAGTCTCCATTCAGAAAGGCATTTTTAACGTCCATCTGGAACAAGGGCCAAGAGTAACTTGCTACAAGGGCTAATAGAACTCGAATAGTGGTCATCTTGGCTACTGGGGCAAAAGTCTCCAAGTAGTCTATACCATAATTCTGAATAAATCCTTTTGCAACCAACCAGGCTTTGTACCTTTCAATGGAGCCATCAACATTATGTTTTACAGTAAATACCCATCTACATCCAACCGGTTTCTTTCCTTTGGGTAAGTCAACTAGCTTCCAAGTATTATTTTTCAAAAGGGCATCCATTTCAACTTTATTGCATCTTTCCACTCAGGAACTGACAAAGCTTCTTGCACTGTTCTGGGGATAGGAATATCAACAATGGAAGTAAGAAAGGACCTGTAAGAAGGAGACAGACGATCATAGGATAGAAACTGGGAAATGCAGTGAGCTGTGGATGTGGTGCAACGCCGTTTCCCTTTACGGACCGCAATAGGGAGGTTAAGGTCATCCGAAGGAAGGGAAGTAGCAACAGTGGAAGGTATCTCAGTGGGTCCTGGACCTGATAAGGGGACTGTAGTACCTGGATCTGGATCCGCAGAAGGAACTGGGGCTGGCCTGGATTGCTGATGATCGAAATCAACCTGCCTCCATCGCTTGTGATAGACTTTCAACTCCTGATCCCTCTGACAACCCTCACCATTACAGCCCTCATCACTCAATGGAATGGGTAAAGGAACCTCCGATGAGTTAACCCCACTCTCACTGCGCTCCCCCTGAGGAAAAAGACCTAAATTCTCACTACTCTCCCCCTAAGGAGAAGCCCTAGGATAATAGGGTACCTCCTCAAAGAAGGTGACATCCATCGAAACAAATCTCCTCCCCGAAACAGGATCATAGCAGCAATAACTCTTTTGAGATTGTGCATAACTGAGAAAAATGCATTTGGAGGCCTTAGGGTTAAATTTGGAATGATGAGGTCCAAGAATCTGAACAAAGCARGTGCAACCAAAGGTTTTAAGAGGAACAGTAAACAACTCCTTGTCTGGATAGAGAAGGGTAAACAGAGGCTTCATGTCAAGAACCCGTGAAGGAACTCGATTAATGAGATACACTGCCGTGAGAATAGCATCRCCCCAGAAACGGATAGGCACATTGGAGGTAAACATAATGCTTCTAGCCACCTCCAAAATGTGCCTATTCTTCCTCTCGGCAACCCCATTCTGCTGTGGTGTATGAGGACAAGT